CCCACAGTTAAGGGGTCATCTGGTCCACTGGTTCCTGACCCCGGATGAGCATAAGAATCGGCTGCATACCTTGTAAAGAATTCCCAGGCCCCTTCCGAACGATGAATTGGCATCACTGGGAGTAGGGCAGGGCTCTCTCTCCTTCCCCAGATAGTGGGATGGCAGTGGGGATGATTAGTTTTATGTGTCTGCTTCCCCACCCTGTAATTTAATCAGACTCTAATCCAGGTGTTGCTGGGAAGGTATTTTGTAGATGCAGTTATGTGCAGAAAATGGAAGTTTCTATGGCCAAGATCCTCACGTGAACCAAAACTACTTGATCGTGTAAATACTAGGCTACTGCTTCCACACCTGTAGGCGATAAGCTATTACTGACTGAGTCACTATACAAAGAGGTCTGCCCAGTGTGGAAGCAGAGAGAAGGGGGGATTACAGACCTGAAGACTGCTCTATGTAGACATAATTCTAGTGTTCTGCACTGGGAGAACAAAGCTGGTAATAAACCCTTTTACCCCAAGGATGTTCCATTGTCATTCGTAGGTCTCACTGAATCCATAGTGAACTTGCCCAGGGCTGAAACCTATTAGCAAGACAGGTTAACATCTACAACCAGTTAACTCTGAATTAAAGGAGATTACCTTTGGGAATATGGGTGGGCCTCATCTAATCAGCTGAAGGGCTTAAGAAAAAAAACCAGATTTCCTGGAGGAGAAATTCTGTCTCCAGACAGCAGCATAAACTCCTGCCTGACTTTCCAACCTGCTGGCCTGCCCTACAGATTCTGGGTTTGCCAGCCCCCACAATCACATGGGCCATTTCCTTAAATTTCTTAAGAGAAATAATCTCTTCACATAAAGATATGTGCACACAGAGCCTGTTGGTTCTATTTTTCTGGTAAAGTGGGATCAGCTAGGCCGCAGGTCCTGGGCTCCTCCTGCCCCTGGGCAGCCTCTCTATCCCTGGAGGCGCTGTACCTGCAGGACACACACAGCCCGCTGCCCAGAGCCTCCTCTCTTCTCCAAAGCCCTGCTGCATCCTGGGGCTCTTTGATCTTCCCTTCTTGTGCAGCACTTCTGGATTTCACACGCACACAGCCAAGGATCATAGAATTATAAATCCATAAAGTGCCTTACAAATCACTCTCTCCTCTACTTTTGACAGATGAGGAAACTGAGGTGACCGGGTGCACAGCCTTATGTCACTCTGACCTCGTCTCCTACCACTTCTCAGTTATGCTGCCCTTCTGGTCCTCAGACTCACGGGGGATGCTCTGGACCCACGGGCCTTCCCCACTGCTGCTCTCCCCTCCCTCCAGGTCTCAGGCTCAGTCACTGGGTCAGCGAGGCCTTCCTTGATCCCAGTACATACAGTAGCAGTCCCCTGTCTTGCCAGTGGGTCTCAGCCCCGTGTAAGGTCACTATGGATTCAGTGAGACCGAGGAATGACAATGGAATATCCTTGGGGTGAAAGGGTTTATTACCTGACTTGTTCTCTGGGCAGCAGGTCGATCAGGAGAACCGTCTGCATCCAACAGTCTCCAGTCTGCAGGTCTGTAAGCCTCCTCTGTCTGCCTCTGCCCAAGCTCTTTATATAGTGACTCAGTCAATAGTAGCTCATTTGCCTGTGGGTGTGGAAGCAGTAGCCTAGCAGGCAGCCAATTACATCATCAGGCAGTTTAGGGTCAGGTGAGGATCCTGGCCATAGGAACCCCAACTTTCCGCACACCCACCCCTTTGCCCTCTACCCTCCTTACACTGCCTTGTTTTCCTTCGCAGCACTTAATGTCTCCTGATACACATGTATTTGCTATTTTCTGGGTCCCATCGATGGAGGTAAGTTCCATAGGGCAGGCCCTTGGTCTGGTCCATTCCCTCCCAATATGTAGAGCAGAGCTTGGCACACAGAGGGGGCTCAATAAAAATCTCTAGAATGAATGACTAGGGTGACGCCTAACAGGGTGGGGGCTCAAGCTCAGGATCCTGGCTTCTTATGCTAGTGCTTCTCCATATCACATAATTCAGCATGTAGGCATTATTCCCCCATTTTTCTCAAACTGCTTCCCATGCTTTGAATACACCTGCTGTGCAGTGACCAGAGTTGATGGTGCTGGGAGGGGCGTCTGAGTCAGTATGTTGGCATGGGGGTGGCGGGGGAAGGAAAGGGCCATCTTTTCATCTTCATCAGAAAATTCTCACCCTTGTGAGACTGAGGGATGGGGAAAAAGAGGCAGACCCAGGGCATCTTTGATTGATGAAGCAAGGGGAAAAGATGGGAAGATGTCCATGAGGCCAGTGGAGGCTAAGGGCGGTGCCCTCGTGCTAAGGGAGACCAGCTCTGGGCAGTGACTGGCTCTGAAAGGCAGGGCAAATGGCTGCAGGCAGCTGCGGTTTGTCTTCCTCCAAGAGATCCCCGGAATGGGCACCTGGTTTCCTGCCACTCTGCCCTGCAGGCCAAGCCTGGGCTGAGTGTAGGAATTAGAGCTCCCATGTGCTTAACTGCGTGTAGGAGATACAAACTCTCCTTATGTGCTGGTACCCAAGGTAATAGCTGCTGGTGGCAGCCCTTTCTCCTTGTCTGGACCACCCTGTCTGTGAGCTGTAGCCAGATGGTCAGAGGGACCCAGGCACGCTGCTGTATGCACACACTATGCATGGTCAGCGTCCCGCGATGCTCAGGAATATCCTTGGGGTGAAAGGGTTTATTACCTGACTTGTTCTCTGGGCAGCAGGTCGATCAGGAGAACCGTCTGCATCCAACAGTCTCCAGTCTGCAGGTCTGTAAGCCTCCTCTGTCTGCCTCTGCCCAAGCTCTTTATATAGTGACTCAGTCAATAGTAGCTCATTTGCCTGTGGGTGTGGAAGCAGTAGCCTAGCAGGCAGCCAATTACATCATCAGGCAGTTTAGGGTCAGGTGAGGATCCTGGCCATAGGAACCCCAACTTTCCGCACACCCACCCCTTTGCCCTCTACCCTCCTTACACTGCCTTGTTTTCCTTCGCAGCACTTAATGTCTCCTGATACACATGTATTTGCTATTTTCTGGGTCCCATCGATGGAGGTAAGTTCCATAGGGCAGGCCCTTGGTCTGGTCCATTCCCTCCCAATATGTAGAGCAGAGCTTGGCACACAGAGGGGGCTCAATAAAAATCTCTAGAATGAATGACTAGGGTGACGCCTAACAGGGTGGGGGCTCAAGCTCAGGATCCTGGCTTCTTATGCTAGTGCTTCTCCATATCACATAATTCAGCATGTAGGCATTATTCCCCCATTTTTCTCAAACTGCTTCCCATGCTTTGAATACACCTGCTGTGCAGTGACCAGAGTTGATGGTGCTGGGAGGGGCGTCTGAGTCAGTATGTTGGCATGGGGGTGGCGGGGGAAGGAAAGGGCCATCTTTTCATCTTCATCAGAAAATTCTCACCCTTGTGAGACTGAGGGATGGGGAAAAAGAGGCAGACCCAGGGCATCTTTGATTGATGAAGCAAGGGGAAAAGATGGGAAGATGTCCATGAGGCCAGTGGAGGCTAAGGGCGGTGCCCTCGTGCTAAGGGAGACCAGCTCTGGGCAGTGACTGGCTCTGAAAGGCAGGGCAAATGGCTGCAGGCAGCTGCGGTTTGTCTTCCTCCAAGAGATCCCCGGAACGGGCACCTGGTTTCCTGCCACTCTGCCCTGCAGGCCAAGCCTGGGCTGAGTGTAGGAATTAGAGCTCCCATGTGCTTAACTGCGTGTAGGAGATACAAACTCTCCTTATGTGCTGGTACCCAAGGTAATAGCTGCTGGTGGCAGCCCTTTCTCCTTGTCTGGACCACCCTGTCTGTGAGCTGTAGCCAGATGGTCAGAGGGACCCAGGCACGCTGCTGTATGCACACACTATGCATGGTCAGCGTCCCGCGATGCTCTCTTAGTGCCTACACGCCCCAGATCAGGCCACATTCTCTGCCCTTTCACCCCACACATGGGTTTGCCCCTTCCCACTCCCACTAACCCAGCAGGGCCATCTGGCCTTCCTCACAGCCCAGGGAGATTTAGGAAACAGGTTTCCCCTTGCCTTGTGAAATGCGGGTTATAGAGAAGACCATATAAGATTGTCATGGTAAAAGATCAATACTTGATGTCATGGAGATATGCATCTCTGTTGCCCTTGAACTTTCAGCCTTCACTGATCCCTCCTTTGGCCTTCCTGGAAACCCCAGCCTACTTAGTTCTGGTGTCCAAGGCGCCATCTGTGGTGTCCACTACACTCACCATTTTGGCTCTTTGTGAGCAGGCTTCTGCCTTATTCTTCTGCATCCTTCATTGCACTGATCCATGACTTCTAGGCAAAATGGCACTAGAGAGGGCAGGGCCCCTGTTGGAGGATTGGGAACACCCAGCAGGATGGGAGCAGACATGGGAGAGGGGGCTGGAGGTGGCAGAGAAATGAGGATCAGGCTCCAGGAGGGTGGTCGCAGTCAGAAGCCCTGCAGCAGTCTGCCTGGGCCTGCAGGGCAGCTTGAAGGTTGAGATGCAGCTCTAAACCCGTGGTGGGGGGAGACTGGGATGTCAGCTGCTTCCCCCACCTCAGCCCAGGGCTCTGGCCCTTGGGCCTTTGTTTGTTTATTTGTTTTTGGGGGAGGAGGCGAGGCCTAAGTGACATTAACTCCTCTCCCAGCCCTTTATGCTGAGCCCCCAGCTGGGGAGGAGGTGGCCAGCTAAGAGGCTCAGCCCTCATAGCTAATTGCTCATTAAAGGGCGTTAATGAGCTTCCCTTAGTCCAGTCCCTGTCTAAAGCAGCGAGGAGGGTTTCCCTGCTTCTCTCTGCTATTGCTGGTGACACCACTAGTCTTTCTCCATCCTCCTCCTGGTGGTCAAGTCCTGGGCAGGGTCCCAGCAGGTCTGGGCCCTGCTTGGCCAGCAGGCTTGGGGTGGTTTGGTCCAACCCCTCATCCTCACTAGGCAGACCTCTTGCTCACAACCAGCCCCCCTCTGCCCCACCACGCCTCACCACACCGCACCACTTACAACTTCTCCAGCAGGGACAGTCCCAAGAAGGATCCGTTCCGGAGCCCAGTGATCTTGTTGTTGCTCAAGAGCCTGAGGGAATAGGGTGAACACAGACAGAAGGACATGCTGTTAGGAGTCGGAAAGTGCGGAGGGTGTGGGGGTCCAGAATCAGCAGGACAGCCATTATCATACTCTGTGTACAAGAGGCAGCCCCACCTTCGGCTCCAGGAGATCACAGGGGACAGCTAGGGAATGGTTCAGGAGAGTGGTCAGCCCACTGAGCCCCAAATCCGTTTCACCTGCCCCGGGGCCCCCTGGGGCGGGATCTGACTTAGGGCTCTGTACACAGGTGGGCTGAGCAGGTATGAAGTCGAGATGCCCTCTTCACACCGTGGAACCCCAGGGCTGAGCCCGCCTCCCCCATTTCTGCCCTCCAGAGCTCTGCTCAAGCCTGTGGCCCAGTGCCCTGAGAGGAGTGGCAGGGAGAAGGGCCTGAGTGGAGTCAGGGCTCTGGCAGGTGGAATAGGCAGCCCGGGCGTGGGGGCAGGTGGGAGGAGCTGCCTTTCTGGGGGTCTCTGGTGCCCTCTCTGTGAGCTGAGGACCTCACCAGATGGGGAGCACTCCAGCCCTCAAAGGCCCCCAACTCAGAGAGAGGAAGCCCTTGCCTGCCCCCGCCCATCTGCAGCCTGGACAGAAAACTGTCAGAGCTTCAGCCCTTGCCTCTGCACCCTCAGAGCTCTGTTTGTTTACCTGTATGTATTTAGGGGAGGAGGAAAGAGGCCCCAAGCTACAGACTGAACCCACTCTGCCCACCCACTCAGCCTTTCTCCACCAGGCTCCCTGCTGGCATGGGGGAGTTCCAGACCAGCCAGAAGACTCATCCTGAGTTAAGTGCTTATTAAAAAGCTTTAATGAGCCTCTCAGCCCAAACCCTTGCCTGCCTGGGGCTGAGGCAGAGGGTTTCCCAGCTTTGCTCCTATAGGAGGGCCTGGGAAGGCTGGAGGGGGAAGCCTGGGAGCCGCTCCAGTGCTGGACAGCGAGGGAGTGCGGGGATGAGGGCGGTGGTCGGAGATCTGCCCCAAAGCTGCCCCGGTGGGTGATGCCCAGGCAGGCAGGAGAAGACCCCCCGGCACCTGAGGCCCAGCTACACCGTCCTCAGGAAGGGCAAATGCGGCCAGGACGGTGGCAAGAGAGGGAGGGGGGCTTTCTGGGTCCACGGGAAGGCTGGAGACCTCATCTCCCACCTCCCTCTCCCCTCCCCAGGTGGACCCTTCCTGCTCGTCCAGTCCCCATCTCACTGTCCCTCCGACGGTGACATTTTCAGGACCTGAAAGGCGATTGTGTGGGAGGGTGGGGGGTGGGTGATGCTTGCTTTCCAAAGGACTTCACATACACGTGCGTACACACACACACACACACAAACACACACACACACACCATTATCTTGATAGTTCAAAAAGGACACCACAGTAGTCATTATATGAATGATCAGAACTTTCATGAACCCCTTTATTCTCACTTTGGGGATTAGGGTGTCTTTACTTTGCATGACACATGGTCACAACAAATCATAATCCTGCCGGTTCTTAGGGCCTCTAATGGTCTCATTCAGGCCGTGGTGGGGCTGGGGCGGCCCCCTCGGTGGTTACGGTTACGGGCTCTTGATGGTGTGACTGTGCAGTCAAAGCCCTCCTCACCTCAACTCTAGCTCACCCCTTTCACAGATGCCCAATCTGAGGTTTAGAGAGGCATTAAAGGTCAAAGATGGTAAGAAGACCCTTGGCACCCTTAGTCATGTCAGGGAGGGGTCCTGCAAGGTCAGGGACAAGGGTGGAGAAAGGGCGTCTGTCTCAGCCTCCTCTCAATCTTGAGGGTCTCTCCCAGGGGCTGCATCCAGCACCCCACCCCCACAGGTTTGCAGGTGGGGAAAGGATGGGATGACGAAGGAGTGGGGACACTGGGGAGAGAGGGGTATGGAAGGGCCGAGGAACAGAGTTGCCAGACTATCACAGCCCTTCCACAGAGGCAGAGGCCCCAGAACATCATTCCTCGGACTTGAGTAGGGTATGGACTTCGTAAAGAGAAGGAAAAATGTGTCTGATTTCCTTCGAAGATGTCTGAGGATTCCAGTTTGAGAAACGCTGACTTCACAAATGAAAATTTTACACTATGAAAATGCCTTCTAATAAAAGATTATCTCAAAATTACCAGTGGAAGATTTTTGTTTAAAGATCATTGAACTGAAAACAGAAACCTTTAAAACTCTCCACCTTCCAAATCCCAGAGATGAAAACCTGGGATGCTAACTTGAGAACCCTGTCCAGACAGGTCTAGAGGTGGTGCTGGGGGGATACCCCACATTCTCAAGACATTTTGGCCTTTAACCCTTGAAACCTTTCCACATACCCCAAATTCTTTCACTTAGCACTGGCCAACAGAAGTACCATTTGAGCTACATATGCCATTTAAAATGTTCTATTAGCCACGTTTTAAAAATTTAGTTTGACATTATATTTTATTTAACCCAAAGTATCCAAAATGTCATCATTTCAACATGTAATCAATATACAAAATTATTGAGATATTTTCCTTTGTTTTGTTCTGTAAGTGTGTAGAATCCAGTGGGTACTCTGTGACTCCAGCACCTCTTGATTCAGACCAGCCACATTACAAGGGCTCAAGAGCCACATGTGGTTAGTGGCTTTAACCCTTATCTAGTCCCCATGTGGCCATCCCAGGAGGAGGAAGTCTGGGTTGCTGAGAGATCCTGAGGCAGCCAGGGTGGTGTGCGTGCACCTCTGTGTGGTGTGACAGCAGGACAAAGGACTGGGACCAGCCCCTCATGCCAGTGGCCCAGAACAACCATCCTTGGCCCTCCACACAGCTCCACACCCCTGCGGAGAGCCCCGCCCCTCTCTCTCTGAGGCAGCCTCTGTTATGCTGGCGGGGAGAGGGCAGAATGGGATGGGGGGTCAGCACAGCCCACTCTTGCGGTTGGGAAGACTTCAGCTCTGAGAATCTTGAAATGAGATCCTCGCCCACTTCCACTCCTTGGACTAGGCTGCAGGCAGATCTCCATACGATTCAAGTCCCCAGATACCCAAAATTTGATCGTCGGGGCTTAACCACCTAACTAGGGCTGAGGAATTTTACTTTAGACCCACATTGTCCAGAGAATGGCCTCCATTGTGCTCCCTTATGGATGTGGCTAGGGAGGGGAGGGCAGGGTTTGGGACAGAAAGTGCTTGGACTGGGCCTGGGTATAGGCAGGTAGGAAGCAGGCACTTACAGGGTTGCTGGTGGGGAGAGATGAGAACTCACACACACTGCCCCATCCAATGGGAAGACAAACATGCCCACCACACTAGCCTGTCTCAAGGGGCGAAAACAGGTAGGGCAGCCCCAACAATCTGGCAGGGAGGGAGGGAGCCTCAGCCCCATGGTTCTGTCCAGTGTGCAGACACAGTTCTGATCTCAACCCCATCACCGCCATGACTGCCACTGGATGGACATGTCCTCAGCCTGCACCAGCCTTTCGCCCTGCAAGGATGCAGGGAGCCAGCCAGGAGGATTTCCTTCCCAGCCATGCTAGCCAGCCTCACAGACCTCGAGCCTGCCCAGCCTGGCATCTTCAGACTCCCCCTTTCCTCCCTCCCTGTCTACTGCCCCAACAGGAAGTGGGGACAATCCCTGGAGTCCCCTGTTCTCTACCCCAGAGTCTGAAATCTGGCCATGGAAAGGGGGCACACAGAGTCCATTCCAGAACACTCTCCCAGTAGGGTCCTATTTTAGGGAAGAGAAGCAAGCAGAGTTACCACTAATGAGACTGGAGGCCAAGGGAGAGAATGGCTGGCGTCTACAGAGAGGCCTGGTGGCCTCTGGGCAGCCACAGAACTCCCCAGATCCCAGCCTGATATCAAAGACGACCCTGTGGGGCTCACGTGGGTACCAGAGGGCCAGCACATGCTTGAACTAAATGGTTCTCACATGTGCAAGGCAGCCAAACATGTCAGCACCCTGCTCCATCCCAACACACGCAGATGCAAGGACCAATGCCTGGACGGGGAGTGGAGAGGGGAATCTGTGCTTTCCAGGGAGTCTGAGCCTGGGATTTAGGCCCTCACCAAGGTCCTCCCACCCCAGCCCCAGTTTCTTGTGTCTGTCTGCTCACCACCAAGACACGGTGCCCTGGTGAGCGGTTAGGGAAGAGGAAGCCAGCTGGCCCCAGGTCATGCGTGGGACCTAGTCCAAGGTGGTGTTTTCTCTTGACCTTGATCTCAGGCCCTGCCTGTACAGCCCAGCTTCAAAGCTAAGATCAGAGGCCATCTCAGGACATGGCCCTATCAAGCTGGGGAAGGACAGCCCTACCCTGGTCTCCTCCTAACAGGTGTTCAGGGCGGGCTTCCAGCAGGGATGGGGGATTACAGGGAAGTACAGGGGCAGTGAGGCTGGATGGACATGAAGGGCAGCCTGCAAGGACAGCACAGGATGCCGCAGGAGGTCCGCCCTCAGCCTGAGAGTGCGACACTGTGGCGAGTCTCACTGCTGGAGGCCCCGTTGTCCTCTCCACCATACTGGAGTGCACCACCTCCCTCATGAAACACCATTTGCTAATGGATAAATAGTTTTCATCTATTCCTACCAGCAACCCTGCAATTATTGAGTTAAGCATTTACTAATTTCAATTTTGTAGTGTTTATATTTTGAAGGCAGTGAATTATTTCTTAGGTTTTCAGATGTCTCTGTGGGCCCTGGACATGTGCAAAGGCCCTGGGCACCATGGGAGATCAGTGTCCCCTGATGGTTCAGGTGGTGGTGGCTTTTGGGGGCACTCCCTGGAGGTCTAGGGCTCTGCCAAAGTACCCTGAGGGTGTCTGCAGCCTGAAAAAAGGGGCTACAGGTATTTGTGGTACATGGCTGGTGTGCCTTAATGGGGATTTGGGGGCCCCCAGCACCTTAGCTTGGGCACGGGGAATCGAGTCCACTGTAATCACCCACACCTGTGCTCATCTGCTCTTCAAACCTCACACCAACACCTGTTGTGTGCCCAGCCCGGTGTAGTCCACCAGTATGGTGAATATGAATGTGAC